TTCAACATTTGCAAGTAAAGGAGTAATACCAGTTAAGTCACCTATAGCTGTCATATTTTGCAGGTTATTCTGAAGCGCTAAAATTTGCTGATTTAAATTTATTATTCTTAGCCGAGAATCTTTTTCCTTATTTTCCCATTTTTTATGCTTCGCCTTTTGTTTGGTATGCTTACCCTTCCTTTTTACATGCTTCCTACGCCAATTTTGTAATTCAGCTTGACATGTTTGCAATTGTCCCGTCTGGAAAATGTGGGCTTGGTTAAGAAGATCGAAGTTATTATTCGCCGTATCCAGCTGAGCCTGCAATTGTATGATAATTTGCGCATCTCCCTGATTTTGGGTCTGAAGCTGGGTCGCAAAATTATTTAACTGATTAATTGCATTAGCATCTTGCTGATATTGGACTTGCGCTTGGGTATTTTCCCACTCAGCTATATCCCGAAGTCTATTTACAGAATCGTTAACTGTAATAATTTTGTTTAGAATATCTCTTTGATTCCAGGCCGATATTTGGTAGTTTCGAATATAATCATCAATATGCCCATTTTCATCCAGAACTGTATCAAATATTGTATTAATCTCATTGGGAACTGGTGGTTGAATCTGATTCGGATTCGGTCGAGCCATCTTAACTATGTCAAGTGAATTTTTGATTTCTGCGGATTTATTATACTTCTGAGATGTAAGTTTTCGAATTCTATTTTTTAACTTGATTACTTCCTCTTCGAGTATAGCCAACTGTTGTTCTCGAACAAGTATATAACTCTCTGTTTTATCTACATCCTTTAAAGCAGACCGGAGACGATTTTGCAAATCAGATAGCTGGATTTGAGTTCCTGGATCTCTTTTTCATGAGCTATGATTGTGGTATCTTGAAATGAAATGGTCCTACTGCATTGTTCTAGCTCTTTTATGAGAACGCGAATTTTTTTCTCGTTTGTTTGATTTATAATTGTCTCCGCATTAAGTTCCTTCCTCAACTCGTGATTACTTTTCAGCAATGCTAAATAAGCTGGATCGAAATTGAAACTCATGACAAAAAATTCCGCTTGGTTTATAGTATTGATTATAACATTTCGCAATCATGGCAATGAGTGTACCTAGTATTATAATCAGTGCAGATGAGGAATTAAAATTCGTTCTTCGTTTAATCTACTATCACGTACCTGGTTTTTATACAACCACAAAACAGTTACAAAAAGCTTGTTGGAGAGAAGGGTACGATCATTTTTTCCTGCAAGATATCGAAAAGTGGTTAAAGAACCAATATGTTAACCA